CCCTCAGCCCGGCATCACCCTCAGCCCGGCAGCAGCGCCGCCCCGAGCTAGTGCGGCTGGTCAGCGCGCAGCGTGCTCGGAGTTTCGCCGGCTGGGCATACCGCTATGCGGTGGAGTGTTTTGTCGGCTGGTTAAATTCAAACAGGGAATTATTCGCTGTTTTTGACGTCCTTCAGCAGCGGTGCTATTATTGCCCGTCTAACTGTGCCTCAGTTTCCAAATGACCTGCTTTACTTGCCAGGAGCGTGTCCACAAGTGGATAAACAAAATCCTCCACTGTGATCCGAAATTGCCGGTTGGTTCCGACAAAGCCGATCGGCTATCCCCAGCGGCCACTCGTCGGCGCTCGACAGGCGGAAAAGCGCATCTAGATAACATACAATTTCCAATTTGTCCGTGCGGCGCGACGCACAATGGCGGACCAGCAGCGTTCGAGCGGACCGACCACACCGCTCGGGCGGTTCGCCCGTCCGGGGCAGACCACCGCCCGGGCTGCCCACCCGCCCTATACAGGACGCCGAACCGGCCCGACGGCTGCTGGGACCCCTGAACACGGCCCACTGTTATGTTAAGGCTTCCGTGCTCAGCTGGGATCGGTGTGCCGATCGGCGGCGCTGGGCCACCGCTCGGCCACCGCTCGGCCACCGCTGGGCCGGGTGTCGCGCTAACCGATACGGCACCCGGCCGGCCGAGCCGACACGTGTTCTGTCCACCGCACGAGCCCGCGAGCCGCGTGTCAGCGCGGCGCCACGCCGGCCCATGGCAGAGACAAGCAGTTGTCGACGGCGCCCCCCGGCTCCGATGATAATTTCGGCTAGCGGTGCGCCGGCGACAGAGTCACGTGACCTGATCGGGTATGTTGTTTCCGACGGCGAAGACGGGAAAATAACGGTATCGTAAATCTAAGCAGGACGCGGGGTCGGCCGTGTGTCCGGGACTGTCGGACACGGTCGCGGACACGGTCCGAATGGCGAGCGCCCTATCGCCGAGATATTCAGCAGCTGGCCCGTGCGCCGGGCGCCGGTCGGGAGGAAATGTGGAGAGAGGTGGACACTGTGCACCGGCCAGGAGTCTGGCTCAAAAACCAGCGAACTGGGGACTGCCAGTCCGACAGCCTGCAGTTAGACTACGGGGGTGGGTCGAGCAGCGATTTAATGGGTATATGTGGCACTTGATATCAAAGCTTGCAGCGATGAAAAACTATGGTTTTTATTTATTTATTAACCTTCATCTGTTATTTTCCTCCTTTGTTCAGCCCGTTTGGTGATCACGGTCTAGTAGGATAGGGCCGAGGGTCTCAGTACCGCGGGGTTTGCCCTGTCCAGGTCAGTCCGACTCCGACAGCAGGCCGAGGGCCGAAGAGAGCCCTGCGCCCACGGCCAGGGGTCCCACGAGGCCTGGCTCAGCCAGGGTATATAGAACAACGGGTACACCAACGACGCGGAAAGCGCCCATTTTACCTGGATGAGTTACATGGTAGGTGATATATCTTTTGAATATGGAAAAAATAGAGTATTCTATTCTGACGAGTAAAACTAAATCCATAAAGCAGTTATTTTTTTAATTTATGTACCAGAAATAACATACTGACCATAGTTTAAAACTTAGTCTTAAGTTAGTTGAAAAGCGTATAGTTGATACTAAGATGGAAGGAATCAATGGAAGGCGGAAATGGCGCAGCTGTTTCATTCTTAAAACGTGTTCGCAAGCAGGATTCACGTGATGCTAGCGACATCTATTAATGTAATCGGGGACGCTGATTGGCTGACCGAGTCCGTGAGCAGTATCACTTATGTACGCCAGTACAGGGTTGAGGCAATGTGCGCATGCGCAGGAACTTGTGCTCTCATGGAGGGGCTTTTGGTACCTCGGGCAGCGCCCAATGCTTTTTGGACCTGTTATGGCCTCCGCATCGAAAAACGCTAGATAAAAAGGTTGTAGAGGAGGCTTGAAGCTACCTTTCCCCACAATAATATTGGCACTTTATCTTTTAGCTTACGTGTGAGGCTCGCTTGAAAAAGGTCGATTTAACATGGAAACCCTATGGGGTAGTAGTTTTTGAGCGCCCATTTGGCCTAATGCTACCAACTGTTACTGGCTACCCCTGGGCTCAGCTTCTGCTGCTGTGGCAGAATCACCAGTACCCACACCACTGCACCAGTGCACTAGTACTAGACTAACAGACTCCGGACAACGTGAAGCATTTCTAACCTTCAATATTCCTCTGGGAAGTACAAAATCAGTCTACCCTCTGCAGCTCTGAATAGATCCTTCGGTGATGCTCAATCGATACGAACCATGGATTTCTCAATACCTAAATATTTTCACTTTCCTTGTTTTGCGTTTCGAATTTGATTCTGACAATACCTAGAATCTGACTCACCAAAGGTGTTTACGACAAAAATGGTAATTAATCAACCACGGATATCGTTTTTTTTTTAACCAAAAGTGAGAAGGTCCGAGCAGAGTAAGCATATAGAACATCGGGTACACGAACGGCGCGGAATGCGCCCATTTATCTGGATGACTTACATGGTTCTATGGATGGTTCTATAGTTTTTGTATGTAAAAAACTATGATATTGAATTGTGACGAACTTAGCCAATTTCATATAATATGTTCTTTTTAACTTATATGTGTCAGAAAGTGCATACTATCCTTAGTTTAAAAGTTAGTCTAAAGCTAGTTTAAAAGTATATAGTTGATACTAAGATGCAAGGAATCGTTAGAAACAGAAATGGCGCAGTCGTAACATAAATCAAATGTGTTCGTGAGCAGGATTTACGCGATGCCGGCGACATCTTGTAATATAAACAAGGATGCTGATTGGTTCATTGAGTCCATGATCAGTAGTCTGCGGGGCCTGTCTGAGCCCAATGTGCCGGGGTCTGCGGGGCGGCCCGTCTGAGCCCAATGTGCCGGGGTCTGCGGGGCCTGTCTGAGCCCAATGTGCCGGGCTCTGCGGCGCCTGTTGGAGCCCACACTGAACGTGCCGGGCTCTGCGGGGCCGCGGTCCGGACAGCTGACACCACCTGAGCTCACCGGCAGGGTCTCCAACTACACCTTTTTAGGCGCAATTTCAAAAATTTAAAGACCAAATTCAAAAAGTTTACATTCAAAATGCACGTGAACGTTTTGAATTTGGTCTTTAACTTTTTGAAATTGCGCCTAAAATGCTGTAGACGTGGGGGCGGGACATGGTAGTAGAGCTGCCACATCGCCGCTACCCTCCAGCCACAGTGCAGTGACCATTGCAAGTAGTGAGAGGATCGAGAAGGGAAAAGGCGCGGGCTAGCTCATACAGACAAGGCGACCGAACGCGGCGCTGATGACTGCCTAGAGTTGCAAAGTTTCCCCCAAAGGCTGCTACCGGCACCGCCCCGCCCCACAATTTTTTTTGGGGATACCGGCATGCTACCACGCCCAAAGCAAAAACACCACCAAATTACCGGCATACTAAAAAACCTGCATTGTTGATTCCAATTTACCCCTACAAGAGATGCCACATTTTCCTCTTAGTGTCCAAAGTTTGAATCATATGCTAATAATTTTTTTTGTGCAAAACCAAAAATACCGGCATGCTACCGGCAAGACATGCCAGATACCACAAAAACCTGCGGTAGTGAAAAATTACCGGCATGCCGGTAATGCGGTAGGGAAACTTTGCAACTCTAACTCTGCCGCACATGTGACGGTATGCGTGCAGGAGGCTAACAGAATACTTCAATATCAGTCTGCGTTTATTTTATGTTCAAAACACACATACATAGAAGGGATCGGCTCATATTGGCAGGAAGGGTGCTCCTGGACAGTGAATAGAGGGGGGGGGGGTCGTAGGGTAGCACACAGCCATAGTGGACAGCGAACTCGTAATGTGATATTGATTATTGGGCACAGCACATAGTGACACTACGTTCACAATAACGAGACGCAGGATCAGGTGTCCGTGGTGGGGACAACAGAGTGTTTAATCCCTGCATTGTGGACGTGGACAGCAACAGCGAACTCGGCAACAGCACCAAAACTCCTGAGCTGGCCATACAGAAAACCTGGAAATACAGAAAAGTCCCAGTGACCAGCAGGGGACGGTGCAAAATGAGTTCCAGTGACCAGCATGAGACGGCGACCGGCGGACCCAGCGACCAGCAGTGAACGGCGGACCAGCAGTAGACGGTGGACTGATCACTCAGCCACCAGCAGGGGACGGTACAAAGCGAGTCCCAGTGACCAGCATGAGACGGCGACCGGCGGACCCAGCGACCAGCAGTGAACGGCGGACCAGCAGTAGACGGTGGACTGATCACTCAGCCACCAGCAGGGGACGGTACAAAGCGAGTCCCGGTGGCCAACAGGGAACGGCGGACCTAACGACCAGCAGTGGACGGTGAACGGTGGACTCAGTGACCAGCAGTGGACTGTGAACGGTGGAATTAGCGACCAGCAGTGGACTCTGGCGAATAGCAGTGAGGGTATGGGTCCATAACGACCCTGCCGCCAACACATCCTAGAACCCCAGCATATACGAACTGGGTCGATCGTGCCCTCAGCAGTGGCCAGCGTGGAGCGGCGGCACCGGGCGTGGAGCGGCGGCGCGCGCGCCCGCTGGGGCCGGGAACCCCGACCGGTCGACCGACCGACCGGCCGACACCTGGACGGACGGGCGCCGGTACAGCGGAGAGCGGCACACTCGGAGCGACGGTCGGCGTTACCGGCATCGGGTCACCGAGGGTCACAGGGGTCGCCGCGGGTCACCATGGGTCACAGGGGTCGCCGTGGGTCACCGTGAGCCAGTGGAGCCAGTGGCAACTACCGAGGGGCACAGCGGCCAACGACGAAACGAGCACGACCTGAATCAACTGAATAAAGTCGCCGCCACAGCCAGTGCAACCATACGGGGCAGGGTTCGGTCCCGATATTTCCGCCACCACTCCCTCAGACCAGTCAGCGAGTTCCCGCCGGCCGGCCCCCTTCCCGGCAGCCCCGGGTGGGCTGTGACTTACCTGACGAGGGTCGGTCCGAGTAGCGCGTGCAGTACACCCAGGCCGGCCAGACCATCTTCTCCTCGGGCGGCAGCGGCGGGTTGGCCAGCACCTGCGGGTCGGAGGTGGCCGGCGGCGGCGGCGGCTTCCGCAGGTCGACGGGCCGCGCTGTCCCGGCGGCGGCGGCGGCGGCGGCCCGCCGCGGCAGCGCCGAGAGGGTCGGCAGCCGCGGCAGGCACGGCGGCCGGCCGAAGTCGGGGCGCAGGATGTTCTCGATGGAGAAGGGCAGCGGCCGGTGCGGCGGGCGCGGCGATAGCGCGCCGGGGCTGGTCGGGCCGGGGCTGGCGCTGAACGACCGCTCGCTGTGCGGCGGCGTCGGCGGCAGCGGCGGGCAGACGAACAGGCGCGGCGAGCCGGCCGAGCTGGCACTGGGCGCCGGGCTGACCGGGCCCACACTCAGCGGCGAGGCCGGCAGCGGCATGGTGCTGCTACACATGGGGCGGCGGCGGCGACCCGCTGGCGCGGCGGCGGACAGCGCGAATGAAGAGCCACCGGCCGGCCAGGGGCGGCCCGCCCGAGACGTCATCATTAGCCGCAGGCTCCGCCCGCCGCCGACTGGCGCGCCAATCAGAGGGGGCGTTACAACGGCTGGTCGGCCGCTGACTGGCGGAGCTCAGCCGCCGCCGCCGGGGGGAGGAGCTCCCGGCCGTCAGACAACGTGGGATATCGTTTGGCCGGATCACTCTATTGGGCAGCTTATTAACAGACTTCTTCGTACATGTCTATTATGCATGTGATAAGCTACAACCTTTGCGGATGGTTTGCAGCAAATGCAGCGTTTTGTCTCGTCGGACTGAATCACTTAAGTGTTTTTTTTTTTTTTTTTATTCTGAATGAGGTATTTTATGGCATGGCTACTTCGTCGTGCACTCAATACCTATTTGGCGTGTGGACCAGCAAACAGATGTTAGTTCTGCAAATGCAATTAGTGAATGGCGAATTGCCCTGGGTAAAATGGAAATTGAAACGCATTTACCTCCCTAACGACGGGCCATGCATGAATAATAATCATATTAAACATGACGGCTGCCATACATCATAGGTACCTGGCTGTTGGGTCAGACAGCGCTGAAATGAATATTGGCGCCATCTTCTTGAAAGAATAGAAATGCATTGAATATTACTTTTCATTAAACGAAAATCCTGCAAAGTAACAAATATTGGGTAGGTAGCAATGCAACCACAAATGATAGGGGAGATCCGTGTAAGACGCCCAGGGTCGGTAAGAGGCCCCATCGCTTTTTTTACCAAACCAATAATGTTATTTATTTTTTAATGTTCTTGTAAAGCAGAAGCCCTCTTGAAACAACAACTCACGAAACCTGAGGTATCAGGTGCGTCGCAGCGACTTTTGGTAAGCCTGTTTCAGTTTTTGCCCCTTTACTTGCTAGATATATGCATCTTTATCACCCTTATATATCTGAAAAAAACAATGGCTATCAAATGCAATCTTTTCTCATCGAAATTGTCACATGTTAGCTTCAGAATAGACCATGTTCTGGTGCGCTGCAAATGTCTCATAAACCATAAATATTGTGGACGTTAAAACACTGTATTTTTTTAAGAGGCCCTCCCTTCGAGGATGATAAAACGCCCCCCGATAAAAAACGCCCCCGATGCTAAAACGCCTGCACCTGCGGCAGGCGTGGCATTCTTTTTTCAAGGAGTTTGTTTTTTGGAGGTAAGCTATGGTATTTCTGAGCATGATTAATAATGTAAATAGAGCACATCATATACGAACAATTATACATTTGATGCTGATGTGGCGTCCCAAACGAAGCTAACAGCGTCTTCACCATTTTGAGACGGTCGTTGGGGCCAGTGTCCTTGTAGCTTCATGATCCCTACGAAGTCCTTCACAGACAGTGGCGTAGACAGGGGGGGGGGCCATGGGGGCCATGGCCCCCCCCCCTTTCCGCCCAGCCGCCCAGATGGCGCCCCACTTAGCGCCGACTAGGCTGATGCCGTTTTACAGAGGGAGCATGAATTAAAAAGCGATGTGCAGGCAGGGATCGAACTCAATATCTCTTTAGGGGTGCCTGGACACCCCAATGTTCTCCAGTCCAGGGCACCCCCAAATAGGACCTGAGCCCCCCAATGTTTAAGGGCGCCCCTCCGGAAACCAGAATAGGTATTCCGAACCCCCAGGGTCGATGGCGCCCCTGAAAGCCGCTGGCACCCACCAGAACGGAACAGTCGCCCCATTTAAGGTTAATTGCACCCCTCTGAAGTTCATAGCTGCTCCATTCGGCCCCATCCAAGGTCGATGGCGCCCCCTGAAACCACTGGCGCCCCTCTAAAGCACCCGCATTCTTCTCAAGATCACAGTCGCTCTATCCGAGATCAATAGCGCCCTCAAGAGAGTCACTAGCGCCCCCCCCCCCTTGAGACTGAAGTCGTCCCGCTTGAGACTAAAGTCGCCCCATTCAAGCCCAATGACGCCCCTCCAGAGCGCCCGGTGCGCTTCTGAAGATCACAGTCGTCCTCATCCGAGGTCGCTGGCGCCCCTCAAAAGTCACCGGCGCCCAGCTAAACGGAGATCACAGCTGCCCCATCTTAAGATCGATGGCAACCCTTTGAAACCAATGGCGCCCTTCTAGAGTTTATTCGCCCCATCCGAGACAACGCCCCTTGAGACTACAGTCCCCCCACCCAATTTCAAGGCGCCCCTCTAGACTGTCCGGCGTCCTGCTGAAGGCAACAGCGGCCCCATCCATGCCCAATGGCGCCCCTCAACGCCCCTCTAAAGATCACAGTCGCCCCATCAATCCAAGGTCGCTGGCGCCCCTCAAGAGCCACTGGCGCCCACCTGAACCGGGACTTCAGTCGCCCCATCCTAAATCAATGGCGCCCCTCTGAAACCACTGGTGCCCCTCTGAAAATAACAGTCGAATCATCCGAGATCAATGGCGCCCCTTCAGAGCGTCCGACGCCCTACTGAAGGCAGCAGTGACCCCATCTAAGCATTACACCCCTCTAGATCACCCGGTGCCCTTCTGAAGATCACATTCGCCCTATCCGAGTTCGTTGGCGCCCTCCAGTAGTCACTGACGCCCATCTGAATGGAGACTTCAGAGTCGCCCCGCCCCATTCAAGATCGATAGCGCCCCCCCCCCCCCCGAAACCACTGACGCTAGGTAGGTAATTATTTTACAATGGGGCTGTCTCATCGACACCAAGGACCCTTTTCAAGATGCAGCAGCCAGGCGGCGCCGAGCTGGGCTAGGATGTGCCAAGCGTTTCTTATAAGGCAGCCTCGATAGTGCCACCCCTCGTTGCGATACCGCCCCTCAATGCGACGCCGCCCATTCACCGTACAATGCCACCCCTCAATGCAAGTGCTGCCCCCAGCGCATTGCCCCCCATTATTGTGATGCCGCCCCCGCTTAGCAGTGCGGTGCCGCCCCAGCGTACGCCACACCAACGGAACGATTACCTTTAAAACTATCAGAGATTGATAAGACTAAGAATATGTATAAAATGTTTATCTCGGACTTTTGATATCCATGACCTAAGGTCAGGTCAATTTTGCGACTTCTCCATTAGGTATAAGTCAATTGGAGAAAATTGAAATGCGCCTCTTTTGGACGAATGTGGTTCAAAACCCTCTCAAACATCGGTACATAGGTAAACATAACACACTGAATCGATAAAATGCACCTGTGACCCTTCTGTGTGCCCCTGAGGTCATCTCAGGTCATGAACGGTCACCAGCATTTCTTTGGCTATACCTTTTGATAGAGACGTGCTAAAGCGGTGAAAACACGTCAGATGTGTTCAGCTCGACGATACGGATCGAGTGATATGCAGCATGACCCTGTCCATCAAGGTCATGATCTTGACCTGAGGTCAAATTTTCAAAATGACGTTTCAAGGTCAACGTATAGTTCATTCGACGCGTTTCGACGAGAGGAATACGATGCTGGCAAAATAAATGTCGTCACTGTCTTGAGTCAAAAGCTATTGCAGAAAACGATTTTAATAAAAACTGTTATTTTTGGAGTTGTTTCCCTCTGGAGGCGTGGCAGTCAGTCACTGGAGGCAGTCATGCATGTCCAGAAGTAGGGGCTGCACGCACTAGACATCGAATTGTAAAGGGGATGTGTGGAGAAAAAATCCAGAACGTATGTCAGCGTTCGGTCGCCTCTGACTGCAGTCGCTGCTGGTATGACAATGAGTTGGGATCTCATGGTGGATCTCATGGTCTTAATTGTTCAAGTCTTTCCTTGATTCCAATTTAGGCAATAAGTCGCAGCGTGTATCCTACATACGTGCGCTCTGATATTCTAAACACGGCAACCCCGGTCGACCACAGGCTGCAGCCCACAGGTCACTTCGGATCAGTGAGTGAGCCCGTATATTTTTCTTTTCTTTTTTTTTTGCAAAGAATAAAGATTCTGCCTATCGATCAACGTATAGTTATTTTACCGTTTCGAATTCGCATGGATGCGTATTTTGAGAATAAAATGTCCGTAGCCTGAGCTCGTTTCCTATATCATGCTAAAAATTCATCTAGATCAAGGTTTTTTGATAAAAAAAACACCAGGCTGCAAATTGCATTAATTGGACTTTATGAAAATCAGCGAAAGCTGGTTCTTATGTATTTTGCAACACCTATAGTAAATCATGCATGAACATGACGTTACATTTTAGCCTGACACCCCTGTCACTAGCTGACAATGGCGCCCCTCTCAAGGGAAAAAGTCGCCCCCTCGAGCACCATGGCCCCCCCTTTCGCTGATCTCTGGCTACGCCACTGAATAGAGTGAATAACCTTATGCTCATGTTATATGTTGCAAATTGATATAATTAAAACTAAATTGATATATTTCGATATTGCACCGTCATCAGAATGAGAATAGCAATTAAGCAGCGATACAAAGCCGATTCAAACGGAATACAAAACGTGCATCTTTTGATATGGTTCTCGTTGGATAAGGTCGATCAGTACGTATACAATCATTCAAGTGCGTGTCAACATTTGCACATTATACATGGCAATGCTTTCAAATATACATAATGTACATAATGCCAAAAATACATATACGTTTACAATATACATACTTTACATAATAGATGGATACATGGATGGATACATACTTTACATAATAGATGGATACATACATATGCACATACAATACACAATATGCATAATAGATACATACATAATATGTATATACAATATACATAATACATCTAATATATAGTTGTCTATTGTTACTCATACATACACAAACACATGACATATGACAATGTTAAATAATAGGTATTCTACAATATTGTATGCTACACTGGAGCTACCGGAGCCACTGGGGGTGTGTATGGCGGGGGATTGAGGAGAGGCCATGATGAGGTTTGTGTGTTGAGGTGGGGTCGCTGGTTTCTGATTTCGATTGACTCGGCTATTTTGAGGTTTGGTACATCTTTACAAACTTTTTCGATCGACACGCTAAACGACTCGGGCCCTACTATGCTG